TTAGTCACCTAATGGTTCTGATACTTTAAATAAAAATAAAAATAAAATATTACAGGGTAAAGTAGACATTTCACCTCTTTTAAGGCTCTATTTGGCTTCAAAATATGATAGGGGGTGTCATTGTTTGAAAATAAGCCAACTATCATCTAGTTGTCAATACAGCAAACCTCGGGGGTATGAGTGTAATTAACCCTTTTTTTATATCTATAAAATTTTCCATCATTTTTGTTTTCTTTTTTTTTTTTGGGGGGGGGGGGGGGGGTACATAATTAAAAAATAATAATGCAACAAAATAATCCCAAGAAACCACTAAAGGCTAGTGTGAGTTTCTTCACAAGGTTAAAAAAAAAAAAAATCACCTAAGAACAATTCCTAAATTATTTTTTTTATATACTAAAAACCGTGAAATTCAAATAGTGATTCTGGATTAGGAGAAATATGTCTGGAAATGAAACACAAAAGGTCTATGAAGAGATGGAACTCTTGACTTACTATTAAATGAAACTGGTGTACTATCCAAATCCTTAAGATGCACAAGCTTTAAAAAATGGGGGAAGGGACTAGAGCTTGGTTTCATCAAAATTAATATTAAATGTTGCCGAAGTAATTCAAGACCCAGGTGTCCAAGTGATATCAGTATTGGCCTACTTTGAAGGGTGATCTCTTCGGGCAAAATAAGTATAACACACCAAACCACACATATGGATCAATTCCGAAAGTTAGTGCTCCATGACCAAGTTAAACCATAGCATTCAATTTCTCATTTTAATTCGGTTGGGTAGGATGATAACGCTTTTCAAGGAAAAAAATGAGTTGATCATAGTTTATGGCATCAAATTATAATGCCAATTTCACAACGGAAACATTAATAGAATATATCTAGCGGACTTCTACCCTATACTCTCTTGCTCTCCATCAAAACTCTCCAACTAATTTTAATGGACACTCATCCCAATATGGAATTATTTTATTTTATTTTTAAATGTTTCAATAAGTTAAGTTCATTCAAAGAGCACTCATGCGGGGAGTGCAACCCATATACGAAAGCCACAAAACACAAAAAGTAAACTCTATAATCCCTAGTAGATCTATAATAAAACCATTTTTTTTTTTTTTTGATGAGTATAATAAAACCATTAACCCAAAACAATAAGGTACTAAAACTGAAGAATTTAAACGCCAAAAAGAGGAAATATGAGATAAAATAAAAACAGCAGGAGAGGAGCGATGCAATGTTTATATTTGTTACATTGTTTAATGCACTAGTTATGACCCTTGCTCACAAGTGCCCGTGAGCCCTTCTTTTTGTGCTTTAAGAGATTAGGTTGGTTTACACTGGTTGTAGCCAAGTGAGATCATTTTTTCCTGGAGTTATTGTCGTTAAGGGTCGTGACTTCTCTGCATTACACAGCTCAGAGTTTCAGAATCCTTAGAGAAGATTCGCAAGCTTATAAAGTTTTGGTCCAGCGATCAACTTTGTGAGAACAAGGCCGTTGGTGCGCATGGAGGCTTAAGCATGGTGGATTTTATGGACTCATCCAGTGGATCTAAGACATCTAGAAGGATATTGTTTCTAAAGGTAATGAAGTGGATGATCCTTCTAATTTTGCTGTCACAACTTCATATAATGGGAGTGAAATTCATGAAGTTGCAGGTTTGAATAAAAATTCAACTAAAAACTGGAGAAAAGAGTTGGTCACTAGTGTTTTCAATAGAATACATGTTGATTTAATCCTCCAACTCTCTATTAGAGAATGGTGGCTCAGATTCTAAGCACTGGAGACTTACATAAAAAGGAATGGTCAGTGTTAAAAATGTTTATAGGCTATCTATGCAATTGACGGAAAGGTATGACCCAACTTCAAGGCGTGCTTATAGTAGTCATCAACAGGAGTTTTCATCATTGTGGATAAGAATCAGGAAAATTAAAAGCATATAGTTGGAAAGACCAACATTATATTTGATCACAGAGTATACAATATATTAGGCTTTAAATACGTACTAAACCTATATAAGCCTTATACAAGCTTTTTCACAAGCTTAACGAGCTGAGCTCAGTATTGTTCACTCTCAGCTCCTTTATTACAATGATGAACAAAAAAGGAGAGAGAGGGTCACCCTGCCTCAAACCCCGCTAACTGCTGAAAAACCCATTGAAGAATCGATCATGAGGACCGAGAATCTCACTGAGAAAATACAAAACTCGATCCACTTCGTCCATCTTCCACAAACCCCATCCTTTCCAGCAGAAAAAGAAGGATACTCCAACCAATCCATTTGGGATTTGCTTTTTGATATGTTGATTTATGAAGTTCCAAAATTTCACTTAAAGCCCATTATATTGTATATTAGTATGATTTAGTACATATTTAAAGCCCATTTACTCCAATTACTATGGAATTTGGGAAAGAAATCCCAGCCCACACTAATACACCTACGCCTACTAATTCCCTATCTTGCATATGAAGCTCCAAAAATGTATTCAATCTAGGATTATTTACTTACTGAACGAACACGAGCCAACATGGTCTGAAAACAAACCACAACACATCGAAGATGCCCCATGTGAGCTTTGTTCGCCTCACGAAACACAATCGTATCATCGACAAAGAGGAGATTTGAGAAATCTCCATATAACTAGAAGGACCTCTATCCACCCTGAAGCCACTACTATATCCCACAGCCACGGCCTGCCTCATCAGTATGTTGAATGCCTCCATCACAAAAAATGAACAACAAAGGGGACATAGGATGTCCTACCTTGGACTCCTTGAGATACCGAAGAATCTAGAAGGTGCCCAATTCACCAACATTGAGAATCATACCATAGAGATGCAAAATCTGATCCACGTCATCCATTTCCCGCAAAACCCATCCTCTCTAGAATGTAAAGCAAAAAGCCCCAAGTTAACATAGTAGTAAGACTTCTCTATGTCAAGCTTATTAGTCACACCCGATACCCCACTACTCAGTCTAGACTCAAATCAACACATTCGCTGGTTATTAAATCGAATCTAGAATTTGTTGTTGCCTACCAACAAAGGTATTCTGTACTTTCGAGATCACTCCATCCATGGCTTCCTTCAATCTCAAAGCAAGGATTTCACCTATTATTTCAGCTATTAGTTTGAATAGACTGCCCACCAAACTAATACATCTAAGATCCTAGACTTCTACAGCTCCTTTCCTTCTGGATGAGACCTAAACAAGTAGCATTCAAAGATATCTAGAAACTACCACATCTATAGAAGAAATTGATTCTGACCACCTCCCAATCACACCCTTACCCTGAAAGGCACTATTGAGGACTGAAGCTCACGAACTCCTATTGTATTCCAAACATTCAGATCATATAGGATACACTCGTGAATTTGCTCCAAATCAAATAAAAACATGACAAAGTATTTAGGACATGTACGTTCAGATCATTTGCAATTTTTTCGTGAAATCTCAAAGTTTATAGATGAACATGAGAAGCACTTGACCATTGCTTTAAAGACCTTAAAAGAACACGAGCAATGCACGAACTAGCCATCATGCATGGTTCTCCACTTAGCTTGACTTGACCACGAGTTCAACAACAAAATCTCCAAAATCAACAATGACATTGCCAGAGTAACATTATAATTCCATGTCTTAACCGCGAAAGACATTAAGTGAAGTGAAAGTTGCCACGTCGAATCACCAAAATAATCTTCCTTTACCTTTCGGGCACATAAGTGCTACTTTGTAGAAAATTAGGTGGATTAAATACAAAATTATGAAGGCATTGTAATTAAAAAAATTCAATAGAATATTAGAAATTTTAGTTGGTATTGTCATAATCTTGATTGTAAAGCATTCATTGTGATGAAATGGCACCAATTAATGCATGAAAAGCAGGAGATGATTGAAAGGGACATACCTTGGACCGAAAATGAATTGTTAGCAGCGTAACACACACCAACAGGCACGGACCTGCCTGGGGACTACGGGGGGCGAATGCCCCCTCTGGAATTTTTTTTTCCTATTATATAGTAGACTTTTTAAAAAAATATATGCCATGCCCCCCCCTGAAATTTCACAAATACACCCACTATATAAGTCCCCAAAATATATACCATGCCCCTGTATTTGCTCAATGATTCCCAAAATAAATACCCCCTTGAACGTGCTCAATGATTAAATGAACAAAAAATATATTTTTGCTTATTATGATGATTTGAATTGTAAATGTGTTCAATGGGATCCTTTTGTTGTTTTTGGGACGCATTCCCCTTTTGAACACCTTTAATGAATTTGCTTAATTATCCAAAAAAAAAAATTTGTTATTAAAAGGACGCCCCCCGACATAATTTCCTGGGTCCATCACTGTACACCATCAACATTTCAGTGTGATGTCAAACACAAAAGTCATGGTACTCTTGCCTACCACTATATGGGGAATACTCACTCATGGAGTCACAAATAAAGTGTAAGCACTTAGAGATGGAGATACAACATCTAAGATAGTGGAGAGATTCAAGTAGATTAGGCCAGATTGGACACCAAGACAGCCTTATAAGAGAGAGAGTGGCAACAACCATGACAAACAACAAACCCTCGGAAACCCAAGGCCACTTGTTACAATTCTCACACACTTATCATCTGTGTCTCGATTTAAGAGTAGGTAAAAGCTAACACAAATTTTCCAAGGGAAAGAGATATGTAAAGGAGGAATTTGAGGATGGCAGGTGCATTTGTTGGTGATAAATTCCATAAGCCCACAAGATAATGGTGTGTGGTGAATTTGTAATAGAGATACTGTAAAGAAATTTACATCTTGTCTCTCATTATAGTGCTCTGGGGTTGACAAAAAGAGAGACCTCAAGGTATCCCAAGTCTCACTAAACAACAAAACCCTAGAAGTCCAAGTGAACTACAACCCAACCCAACCCAACCCAACCCAAACACAAAGATCCATGAGTGAGAATGCATGAGACAATCTTTTAAGTAGTGCAGTGTGAAGTGAAGATGCTCCAGAGAAACAACACATCACAAAGACATAGTATTGGAATTTATAGACCATTATGAAGAGCACACGTCAAGGTGAGATATTTAACTATCCACCTGATACAAGGTGAGACCAATAGATAAAGAGAAAAGAATCTATTGAAGTTTCAAGGGAAGAAGACAAACCATTTTTGGAGATATTTCACGAGTTGATTTCTCCTGTAATTGAAACAAACAAACAAATTAAGACATTATACCAAATAATACAATTCTTCCAACACAACTCTTAGATATAGCCATATACAAAATTTTGAACATCATATGAGTACAAATATTAATACAAGCTGCAACAATGATGCATTAGTGAAAACTCTACAGAACTGACACTTAAATCATCCAAAGGCTTTTTTGAGAAATAAATAAAGATGCAAAAACTTCATTTAGCATAAAGAGTAATGACTAGTCAATTGAGATCTGAACATCAGAGTGAAACATACTCATGAGCAATCAGAGCGCCGATACCCATCAGAGTAACTACAGACACCGGAAAGATAGCTGATATAGGAAAACAAAATTATTTGCATATATTGGTGAAAATTGAGACACAATTAATTAAAAGAGGGAATGTAAGGTGGGGAGAGAATTACAAATTTTAGCAAGCAACGGCAGTTTACAGAACTGTCTATGCATCTTGAGGATGTCCATCTGAAAGAAACATTTTATTTATACAAATGAAATAACAAGAGAGAGACTTTTATCATCAAAATTCGAAAATAAAAAGGCCAATTATTTGCTAAAACAAAAGCAGGGGGTATTTTATTAAATCGATAAATGAAAGAAGTAAACAAATTTAAAAAAAAAAAAAAAAAAAAAAAAAAAGCTCTTTGAAATCCAATTCTTCTGAAAACCCTAGCACGGAACAGAATAATAGCTTGAAATTTTTCACAGTAATGTAAAAAGTTTAGTAAAAATCAACACATAGAAGGAGAAGAAGAGGCGTCGTACCAGTAACGAAACCCTCCGACTTCGCTTCGCCTTGCTTGCCTTCGCTTCTCTTCCCTTCTCTTCGTCCTTTTTCTGATAATAAAATTCTCAGTATTTCTCTTTGTGGGTGGAGAATTGCTGGATTGGAAATTATTGTCTTGGGCTCCTCACCCACCCAACTCTTTTTCATATAATTATACTGGCCTGGCCCAATCTTTTCTTCCTCTGTCATTTCATCCTTTATTGTGGGTCTTATCCCAGTAGTCCACATTTGTATCATCTAACCCAATCCTCAAAAGTCCAAAATGTAAAGCCTAGAATTAAAATCTATATAAGGGAAAAAAACAACTGTTTTTTTTTCTTTTTTTTTTTGCATACCTATATATATCTTTAATAATCTACTAAACCCATTGCCTTACCTGGATTAGTCAGTCAATTTTAAAACAAACTCCAAATACACCAAAGTACGCATTGATTATATTATTAAATTACTAATTTACCCTTGACATGTTATATTATTTGCCAAACTAGCTTAAAAACTCTAGCCCCTCTTGATTTCACTTTTTTAGTACTCGGTCACTCGTCATTTGCATATTGCGACTACGCAGACGACTTTTACTCTAGCCCATCTCCGAGACCACCTCTAGAGATTTTCTCATCTATATCACTCTTTATCTAGAGATTTTGTTGTTTCGCCTTTTCATGTAGAGATCATGAAATCGGTGGCTTAGACTTTGGAGATCGGTACCTTTCCTAAACTCTAATTATATTTCTTATCTGATACATCATTTGTTCAACCTACCTGTGACTAATTTCTAAACACAGGTTGATCAAATCCATGCACAAAACTAAGGATTATCAAAACAACTAAAGTATTTCAAATAAGCATAGATTGCAAAAATAAAATAAAATAAAATAAAAAAATAAAAAATAACTCGTTGAAAAAACTAATAAATAATAACTTTATTGATACTTCTCCAAAATCACAACTCAGGAATCCCATAATGCAAGAACCCCTAAAAACATTATCCAATAATCCAGTCAAATATAAATAAAATAAGTCTATCATCCTACTTTAGAATAAATTGAAAGAGTAAATAAGTCTTCCAGCTGCAGATCCTCAACTTTGATGCTTTGTTCAATAGGAAGGAAGAAAGAGGAGTGGAAAGAAAATAGGAGAGAAGGAACAAAATTCTTTCGTTCGGTAGGAAAGAGACACGGAGGGAAATGATAATAGGAGGGATGTCTTATCCCTCTTTTTTTATAAATTTTCATCCGCCCAAATTTGAGCGGAAGATCGGAGAGAAAATAAGTGGAGCTATTATAAAACTATTAAATTACAATATCATCCTTTCCAAATATAAAAAAGTAAACCCTACACATTTCATCTCACGCAAAAAAAAAAAAAAAAAAAAAAAAAAAAAAAACCCTATCAAGTTATGATTCATGTGTTATATATATATATATATATACCTTCTCCTTTATCTTACCTTGAACCTGTATATATATACATATGGATTGTTTGTTATATAATTTCCTTATTAGTAAAAAAGAGAATTCAGAAGAAAAAATGCACAGTCTACATAAAAAACCATACAATGGCATAAAGCATTTTTTTAGAACATATCTAGAACAAAAAAAAAACTCCATGTTCACACCTAGTTTGAAAAACAGTAGTTACTTCACTAGAAATTAATGGTACAGTTTAAATGAGTAATAAAGGTGATGGCTATTTACCCCAGAAAAAAAATAATGAAAGGTATAATGATAAAAATAATTTTAAATTCTCCCTTCCCTTCTCTCGCAACGAACAAAGGAATTTGGTAGGTTCTTCTCTTCTCTTCCATCCAACCGAAAAAAATAAGGGAAGTCCATAATCTCTTCCCTAGGGATGTCTCATCTTTCTCTTCTTCTCTCCCTTCCATCCAATTTACTTCCTTCCTAACGAACGGAGCCTAAGACTTGAACCTCTAATAACCTGAAAGATAAAAATAAGTGGGTTAAATCCACGAGCAAGTTCTCTCTACCAGGCCTCTGAAAACCAATAAGCAGATCATCTCTAATCAAAATCAAACCTAATAAAGTTTTTTATCTTTAATATATAATGATACAGATATATATAAATAATTATATATAATACACTAATCCAATCCATTAAATTTCTAAACCCATTAATCAATGATTAAATCTTAATCATACCTAAACCAATTCACAAATTTATTTTCTTTTAAAAAGAAACTCTGTAACCTTTATTCCATCTTGGACAGTTATGTAATCTTTTAAATAATAAATTACAAATAAAGGATTATTATAATTAATCCAAAACCCAAATATAATTTTAATTATTTAAATCACATATCCAATATCTACGCTTGGACAAATCATCCATATCTCCACCAATATTATTTTATTAATATATATAAAATAATACACTAACATGTAAGTACTATATTATTCTAATTTAAGAATATCTAATCATAATCCAACTTATACATACAATAACTATAGATGAAATTTTAATCATCTAACACATAACAATTTAATTATGCCTTGGCAAATCAACCATGCCATTATAAATATATTTATTTATATATTGGCAACTCAACCATGCCTCTTAAAGTATATTTATTTATACATTGGCAATTCAACCATGCCTCCACAAGTATATTTATTTATACATTGGTAATTCAACCATGCCTCCACAAATATATTTATTTATACATTTAAACTAACAACTTACTTCCTATGTATGAATTTTATTCATACAAATATTTAGGTTATATATTTAAGCCTTTGGCAACTCATCCATGCCTACAGTTCAACCATGTACCAAATTTAAACTTAACAATAAATCAAATCATACATAGACATCCCATACATATTAAAAACAAAACATTAATTTAATAACCAGCCTATTATGGTTTAATCAACCATACTACCTATAAATCACAATATATCAAATAAGAATAATAATATTAATTATCTTAAATGATATATACATATAGACATATATTATTTAATATATAGAGATATGTACAACACATTCCTTAAAAATCCTTGATTATTTAAAATCATATATACATATATATCAACAATTATATGTAGATATACCTCCATCCATACAACTCATAAATAAAATAAACCATATATACACACACACACATATATATAAATAAATAATTAATTATATATATATATATATACACACACACACACACACCTCCTTCCATCACCAATATAGTAATTTAATTATATTTACGCAAATTAAATACTACTAAATATCGTCAAAAATGGTTTTCCATAAATATTACATCTTGGTTTAAATAGTTTTCCGACACCGTCTTACTAGAATGTAAATATCTCTTAATAGGATGGGAATCTAAGAATGAAATTTGTACTATTGGAAAGAGGATGAAAAATCCTTAAATTTGAGCTTAAGAATGACCCAATTTCGATTTAAAATGACTAAGTTATAACTGTTTAAATTTTGAGTAACAAAACAGGCAGAATAATAGGCTGAGCTCAATCCCTACTGTAAGCGCAACCGTATCGAATCATTTCTATGTTGACCAGACCAGATTAGCGGTTTAGATGCACATGCACACCAGCTCTTCATGTGCCGCGATGCGTTGGATCGACTACCCCTTCATCAACCCTTGTCTGCCAATGGATCAGCTTGCCCACTATATTAAGATGGTACGCAAAGCACTGGATCCATCTAACCACCCATCAGGCCTAGAACAGCGCGCACACCATTATGTTATATGCCGCGCCGTACTAGATCAAACTCCCCTTTGGCCACCACGTTCCATAAGTTAAAAAAATTCCAAAAATAATTATACAAATATTCTAAATAAATATCTGAAAATTATATAAAAATTCCAGAAAATTATATAAAAATATCAAAAATTTCAGAAACTCTAATTAACCTTCTTGGGTCATAGATCAACCTATAAATTGATTTTAAAATATATATACAACATTTATATACACAATTAAAATCCAATAATCCAAAACTAAAAATATATAATAATTCATATTTTTAAATAACCCGATCTAAACATGATTTAATCAAGTAAATTTAACCTAATGTTTTTTATACTCAAGGTGAAATCCTTATGAGTTCTAAGAGGAAAGTTAGAGAAAAACTCGTTTGAAGGTTTCGATACGAAACCGACGCTTCAAGTCTTGATTGTCTCTTCGAAATCCCAACGTCCTCTTTATCAGATTTGGTCTCCTCCTTGTCAGTAATACCCCTAATTTTAAAAGGACAGTCCTGGCATTTAATTTAATTATTTTAGTGCATTTTTACTAAATTATTTGTTTAATTGTTTAATTATTTATTTTTCATTAAATTGTGAATTTGTGACTGGTTTTAAGTATGTGTTTATGTGGCTATTTAAATAAATTATTTTTTAAATTAACTGTTGTCCGTGTTTTGTGATGAGCGCTGAAAAGTACACATTTAAACCCCTTAAGCTTGAGTATTCTAGGACCTTTATCTATCTTATTTACCCGTGTTAGTACTTATTTGTGTTTTTGTCTATTTCAGGTCAATAATGTTAAAATGGGCTAAAAATGAGTTCTTAAGGCCCTTTTGGAGTCAAACTAAGTCTTAGCGATGATCCGGAGCAAAAAGAGGCTGATTTGGAGCAAAAAGAAGCTGATACTGAAAAGCTGAAAAGTTGGATGGATCGCAGAAAAGTTGGATCAATCGAACTTTTTGTTGGATCGATCAGAAAAGTTGGATCGATCGAAAAATAAGTTGGATCGATCGAAAAAGTTGGATCGATCGAAAATAAGTTTGATCGATCGAACTGGACATGCTGGCAGCAAGCTGTCACTTTTTCCGTGCGCGCCCAAAAGTTCACCTACCAAAAAGTTGCGGGATTAGATATTTTTGGGCATATATTCTAGACTTAGTGACTAAGAAAATGACCTTTTATATAAAGGGAAGCAATCTATTTGTAAATGAGGATTTTTTTTAGGCTTTTTATCATTTTTATTTTCTACATTGTAATTTTTATTGCTCTCTCTAGAAAAGTTAGAGATTAGGGTTAGAAGAAGAGAGAGAAGTGGAGGCACATCTCAAGAACACATCTCTAAATCCACTATCTCTCCATCTCTAGAGCTTCAAAGAAGAAGAAGAAGATGGAGCCATGTTTGGAGCTTGATTCCATGACTACATCCACCTCCTCCATGATTGACTAGATCTACACTTAGGGCTTGGATGAGCCCTAAGTCTTGTGTAATCTAAACCCTTGTATTTCTATTTTTGGGGATTTTTATATATATTGTTGTGATTAGTGTTCTAGCCTTGTGAATTTCATGAATCTTGGTATATTTCTATGATTTCCATGGTCTAATTCTTCCT